ACAGTGGCTGCGATGATGGGCTCAAGTATAGCAGGGATTGTGGGGCTGGCGCGGGATCAGGCAGTGTTTCGTTCTGCTGTGCATGGGGTCACTATGAGTCGGAAATGACTCAGCGGCACTTAACAACAACACATATATAATAATAATGTAATACTCAATGCCATGGAGTTAACTCTAACTCATAGCAACCCTTCCTTGGGTTTCTGAGACGGTATCACTATAGAAGTAAATTATCCAATCATCCCTCCAGGGTGTGGCTGATGGCTTTGAACCACCAGCCTTGTGGTTAGCAGTCAGATCCCTTAGGCAACTACACCATCAGGGCTCCCCTGGAGAGCACGTGTGAGTGTGGGCCTGGGTGTGCCTGATGCCAGGTCAAGCAATGGTACGCTGGGAGGCAGCCTCCACAGGTGTGACCCACCACTGCTGCTGTCATAGAACAGGCCCACATGGTGGCTCCTAGGCAGCAAGGTGGACTGATAAGATAAATTGTGTGTGTGTGTGTGCACGTATGGACTATTAATCAATGGTAGGTGTACAAGTGGAGCTGTAAGCATATGTGTGTGCTGAATAAACCAAACCAAACTCACTACCATCCAGTTTATCCGGACTCATAGCAATAATCCCTCCTTGGTTTTCTGAGGCAGTAGCTCTAGGCAAGTAGATTGCCCAGCCTTCTTTCCGAGGAGTGTCTGGTGGGTTTGAACTGCCAGCCTTCTGGTTAGCAGTCAAATGCCTTAGGGTTGGTTTACCATGTTAAAAGGCTTGGGATCATTGCCTTGGAAGATAGCTTAATTAATTGGCATAACATTGCACAATGTTCCACATGCTAGTTTGATGAGTAGTATCTGGGGTCTTAAAAACTTGGGAGTGTCCATCTAAGATCCAGCTATTGGTCTTTACTTGTATGGAGCAAAATAAAATGAAGGAAATAAAATGCTCAGAGAAGAAATTAGCCCATGAGCCCAATAGCTAACATTAACCACAGCATCTTCTAAGACCAGAAAAACTAGATATTGCTCAGTTACTGTTACTGACTGTTCTGACTAGGGACACAATAGAAGGTCCTGGAAAGAAGAAGATGAAGATGTAGAAAACTCAAATTCTTAAAACAAAAGCCAGAACTACTGGACTGACAGAGTAGAGGAACTCCCAAGACCATTGCCTTAAGATATCCATTGAAGTTGGAAATGAAGGTGTGTCTGGAGGTGACCTTTCAACTAAACAATAGACTGGCTTATAAAATAAACAGTATCTGAGTAATGTGCTCCCTTAAATAATTAACTACATGAGGCCAAACGGTCAACATTTACCCAAAAGCAAAGATGAAAAGGCAAAGAGGGAGAGGAAAGGCAGATCAATGAAAACAGAACAAACAGAATGGAAGTAA